GAAAACACTCAAGTGGTGGGGAAAGAGGCCCGTGACACTTGGAGCAGCAGAAAAACACTCAAGTAGCAGGTAGGCCGGTACCACACCAAGTAGAGGTAGATGTGCCGGGTACTCGAGGCCGAGCAGAAGAAGACAAAAGTTGGCATTTTTTAAGAGGCCCAGTAGCTGTAGGCTAGGTCTAGACGGGCACCAGTCCAACCAGTCTGAGTCTAGGGCCTGTACGGGCAATATCAGAGTCTGCAATGATGTTTCCCTCCGAAAGGGAGGAGGTACCGGTTGCTTGGAGGCCGCGCGGCCTAGGGAGTCGCCGCCCAAGAGGCAAGCAGGCTGCTATATCTCCAGGAGGAGCGAAGCGCTTCTCATTTGTTGGTGTGCGGAGCGACCGGTGGACCAGCGCTAGCAGCAAGCAGCGCTTGGAGGAGGAGGAGCGCCCAGCTCTCCACCGTGGCTTTGGTGGAAGGAGCCGGGCAGGAGGAGGAGGGAGGAGGAGGCCAGTAGAGGGGAGCACCAGGGGACTTACCTGGCTATGGTGGACCCCATCTTCATCACCTTGGTCGAAGCTGCATCTGGAAGGCCCTGCTGGGGTAGAGCTGCACCATGAAGCTTCGAGGCAGAGTCAGGCATGGCGGCCTGAACAGGAGCAGCCATAGCGGCTATATGTTGTCCTTTGCAGAGGAGGGCAAGGCCCTAGCAGTCCGCCATAGCCTCGGCCTTCAGAAAGAGGAAGGAGAAGGGTGGCCATGGCTATGGTGGACCTCATGTTGTACCTCCAGTAGAAGAGGGATTCGGACATTGATTCTGGTTCAGCCATTTTAATTATTTGTTGTGAATAAAGAGGAGAGGAGAAAAGGAGGAGGAGAGTGGTTGGCGAAGAAGAAGGGAATTATCATTGGTCTTTGCCGGTGTACATCGTTTTGTTCTTCTTTCTTTCTTCTTCTTCTTTCTTTCTTCTTCTTCTTCTTCTTTCCCTCTCGCCAGGATCATAACAACTTTTACTTTTCTTTTGTCCTTCCCTGTCTTGTGTGCTTACGTATGGTCATCCCTCCCACCTCCCCCGTGCTTTCCAGCCTATGTGTTTACCTCACTGCTTTGTTCTTTGTCCTGTATTGTCTGCTAAATTGCTAATGTATTGTCTGCCGTCCCCCCTCTCCTGTGCCCTCCAGCCTATTGTTTACCTCACTGCTTTTGCCTTGCTGCGCTTGCCTGCCTGTTTGTTGTCCTTGCTGACTTCACCAGTCGGTTGTCTTGTCATTTTGCTTGTCATACATAGTCCAGCATTGCAGGGAAGGTAAAACCAGCATCGAATGGGTGGCAATCAACCGTATATGATTGGTTATGGTCAGACCTGGTGTACCACTGTAACAGTGGAGTGCATGGCGGATACGTTACGGGATATCTTGGAACACACACATGCGCAGGCGCAGGCGAAGACTGTGCATGGGTTGCTGGGCAGTTGCGGCCGTGTTAGGGGGCCACGCAAGGCGAAAGTGCCTGAGGTGAAAGCACAACACGAGGCTAAGGCACAGTGTGAGGCAAAGGCACAGCGCAAGGCGAAGGCACATGCAGATGGTGCCACACGAAGGCAGAGCAGGGTGGCGCGAGGCAAAGACAGCACCCACACCGAGATACCGGGCCAGTGGGATCGCAGAGGCAACAGACCTACTTGCCTCTAATCTGGACAGTTGGCCCAGATTTACCCGGTGGACAGCCCAGATTGTTGCACGACCTTAATACTTTTAGATCGCATGACCATCCAGGCTATTGGCCTGGTAGGACAAGGCGGGCCAGATTCAAGATTTCTGACATGCTTGTGGCGATCCTGGCTGTGGGGCCCAATAGGACTGCGTACAGCCTAGATTTTTGCTTTGTTACATCAGCGATTTGAATAGCGCCGGTATATGTGATATGTTTTTGAATGATTGTAATGTTTTGATGCAAAATTCATTTCACCGTTGTATTCTGACTCTTCTGAGAGGTGCACGGTGCACCATGTTCGTGTACTTAGAGCATGGATGCGTACACACCCGTTCGCTTCTCAGCACACCTGCATGTTATATTTTGTCGGTTCCCTTAGTGGTGCTCATTTGTATGCATTGTAGTACCCTGCACGAGGGAAGGGAAGAGGAAAGGAGAGGGAGAGCAAGAGGGGACAAAGAAAAAGGGGGGAGTGTGGACGGTGGATTGCGTGCTGTGCCAGCATCCATTGTGAGACAAAAACAGCATATAAAGTTATAAACTCGTTGCAGATTTGCACGCGAATGTCAGAGGACATGCCAAAGCACAAGGTTTCCTCACACCTGTGTGGTTGCGCGAGAAGTTCCCACAACCTGTCCGCACTAAGTATACATATGTGTGCGTGTGGACATAACACATTGAGAATCAAAAACAAATTCACAGCTATGACCGCAATATGTATACCTAGTGGGGACCACAATTTAATTATTGCCTTGCATGGGGAATCTGAAGAGAGGCCGCATTCACTGGAGTTGAAAGTGCTCACACACCTCCTGCCCACACTAAGTCGGGCATGACCCCCGGGCAGGGTTCCAGGCAGCCTCAGCACAAAAAAAGAAAAAGAAAAAGAAAAGAAAAGAAAGTCAAAAAATTCCAGAAAAAAAAAAAAAAATGTTGTGTAGAATTGCAATAAAGGGCCAGAAGAAGAGAAAAGCAGAGGAAACGGGACAAGGCAAAGGAACAGAAACGGGAAAAATCATGAAAGGGAATGACACGACAAGGGAAGATCTGACCGGTGACGAAGCAGACAAGGAATCATAAGACAAAACCAATCCAACAGAGACTACCTCTGAGGAAGATGATCACTCCAGCCGCTCCTTAGCCTGGCTTAGGGAATACGTGGAAAAGGCCAAGAGAGAAAGAGAGCATGTCTTGGACATTCGTGTTGCATGCCTGAAACATGCAGAAAGGTCCCAGGTGAATGGGAAGAAAGGCACGGTTGCGGGGATCAGCAAGTCCTCTAACCAATATGAAATGCTCAGAAAGGAGAAGGCCGAAGAATTTTCTGAATATGCGGCCTTCAGATATGCGGAAAAGAAGAGGGCAAGGGATCAAGGGACAGAGGACAAAGACAAAACCATTCCCACAACAAAAGAGGAGTTTTTGGATTTAAGACCCAAGGCAAGGAAGGTAGGCAAAAACCAGAAAAGGAAAGAGTCGAACAAGGAGCAAACAGAAATGGAGGAAGAATCAGAACGAACTCTCCCAGAGAAGGAAGCGGCAATAGTGCTGTCACAGACAGAGAAATTGAAGAGGTGGAACAAAGAATGTTCCCCTGAATTCACCACCATCACGCAGATAGCAGGGGGTCAAGTCCCAATGGTGGTTGAGTCCGCCAAAACAGCCAGGAGAACCCTGAGGAACATCCGGCCTCTGACTGCAGCCAGGTATGTGGCCAAGACACGAGAGTGGCAGATTGCCACAGATGTATCCTTCAAAATCCCCCATTTCGTAGAAGGAATGAATGTGATCAAGGAACTCAAGAGGCGGATAACAATGGAATCCCCACTGGGACTGTATGAGACGGTTGCGATGGACGAAAGCCAGATGGACATATGCACACAAGAGGATGCAGAGGGCACACAAAAGAGCGCTGGGGAGACAAATAGGACCTCTCCAAGGGCCTTCTCTCCTCTAATTGCCAAAATGCCAGAATCAACTGTATTAAACTCAGGAATGTTTTGGAAGTCCTGGAGGACGGTAGCTGAAGTCCCGTACAGCATCCTGACAGATCTAGGCATGTCGGCAGAACTGATGGCTACAGCAGTCGCACATATTATCTCGACAAGGTTACTAGAGGGAGACGAAGATCTGGAAGCAAGAGCTTTCCTCACAGACAGCGAGAGATTCTACAGAAGTGAAGCTTCCGATGATGAATTATGGAATGTTGACGATGAAAGGGAAAAGCCCGATTGGTTCTCTGAATTAGAGAGAGACATCAATGGGAAGACAGGGATGAGTGGATCCAACACTCCTGGGACAGAGCTACCTTCCCTTTCGGACGATAGTGGACTGAAGATCTACCAGGAGACGACCGTGGAGGATGGGAGTGTAGACAGCCCCCCCCCTCTCCCCACATAGACACCACTCTACCTTCCAACCCCCCTAACCCGATGCAACCACAATTATGGAAAGTTTCAGGCTGAAAGCCAACAAGGTGGGGCGTAGTGTCGATTGGGGCAATCAAGGACTGGTTATCAGAAGCTGGAACGTCAATGGGCTTGGAAACATAATAGATAGAGAAGAGAAGTTGAATGACATCTTAACAGGATTATCAGTTGCCAATAGGAAACTAGCGGATATCATACTACTACAAGAAACCCACCTCACCTTATCGTTGGAACACAACAGAATCCGTTCTTTCCTAGCAAGAAAATTGGGAGGCTTAAAAGACGAAATATGGTCAGCAGACCCCTCCTCCAGTACCAAAGGAACTGCGATCCTAATCCCCAAATATTCTCGTCTATACACAGCAGGTACAATCATTGACAAGAAAGCAAATCTGAATGAAGGACGATGGTGTCTCTTCCACCTCAAATGGAAAGAAGAAGAATTTACACTAATCAATGTTTACGCTCCTAACTCTTCGTCAGAAAGATCAACCTTCTTGCTAAACCTCAGAAACCAGATCCCAACAATGACCCCTAGTATCTTGGCAGGAGACTGGAATGCCACTATGGATCCGGTCACAGACCGCATATCCCGACCGTCCAGCACGCCTAGTCCAACAGAAGCACTACCTATCCAGGAGTTAATTCTAGATCACAACTTGGTTTATCCCTTTAGAACTCTACACCCAACCAAAAGAGCTTTCACGCTGGTTAAGAAAAACCATGCTCACCACACTGCCTTCTCACGAATAGATTACCTCCTGGTGTCTGAAACACTGATGAGGGCAGTTAAGGAAGCAGATATCTTACCCTTGGCAACGTACTCAGGGCTGGATCACAAGCCAATTGAATTGGTAGTGTGCTTTGATCAAATAGTCAGAAAGGGCGCTAGTTTCCATAAACTCAACAACTCACTTTTACTTAGTCAGACTTTTCAAAAAGAAATACAGGACTATTGGGCAGGACAGAGAACAACTCGGCTGAACACGGAAACCCAGTGGGAATGGTTTCAAAAGAGCTACTCTACTCTCTCTCTAAAAGCGGCCAGAATCTCCAGGAAACTTGCTTCTAAGAGGAAACAAAGGAGACAAATTTTGGAGGTCGCCTTACAAGTAGCGGAAACTAATCTGATTGACAACCCTTCCTCTCCACTCTACAATGAAATCTTTGAGAAGACACGTGAGGAACTGGCAATGTGGAAGTGGTGGGATTTGAAAGGACTACAAATAAGAGCCAGAATGTGCGAATATGAACTTAGCGACTCAATGACCAAACACTTCTTCGCCCGAATCAAAGCCAACTCAAGAGCCAATACGATTGAAAGCCTCAGATCTACCACAACTCCTGAGACTYTGAAAACGGACAGTGAAGGMATGTTAGAGATAGCCAAGGATTTCTACAAGAACCTCTACCAGTCTAAAACCCCTACACCAATTACACTCAACACAAACGAAGCAAGGAGAAAAATGCTCCAATATTTGGAGAAAACGATAACAACTGAACAGRCRGGGGAGCTAGACAAACCTATCACAATAGAGGAACTACACCAAGCACTAGCAGGAATGAATAATAGTAAAACACCAGGGATAGATGGTTTAACGAAAGAATTCTGGGAGAAATTTTGGCCCCTTCTGCGATCGGATTTATTCAACTATTATAACGACTGCTGGTTCAGAGGGGGACTAGGAAACTTACTCAGCAGCAGCGTGGTCACTCTACTTTACAAAAAGGGCGATAAGGCAGACATTAAGAACTACAGACCAATTTCATTGCCAACACTCCCATACAAGATTCTAGCGAAAATCCTTTCCAATTGGATCTCCAAAATAACAAATAAGTGTTTCCATATCGACCAGACAGGCTTCATCCCGGGTCGTTACATCCTAGACAATGTACTTACATTGAATGAGGCGGCGAGGAAGATTAGGGAAAGAAAAATAAACACGGCTATACTTTTCTTTGACTTCGAAAAAGCCTACGATCAAGTGAACTGGGACTTCATGGAAGCATGTATGGAGAAAATGGGTGTAGGCCCGAACTTCAGGAAATGGGTTCGCATACTTTACAGAGACGCAGTCGGCTGTGTCCAAGTTAATGGACTGTTATCAGATTATTACCCGATATCTCGCTCAGTTCGACAAGGAGACCCACTGGCCCCATCGATATTCCTTTTTGTAATGGAGGCCATCGCATCCTTCCTGCGCAAGGACCCTTCCATCCATAGGCTCCCTGTCCTCAACGCAGCTTCGGCCCACCGGATAGATTTCCCGACAGCTATCGTGTTTGCAGATGACCTAACCGTGCTTGTTAGAGCTTCAGATTCATCCTTTAGGACATTGGCTAAGGCGATGGAAGCCTTCAGGTTGGCTTCCGAAATGAAGATTAACTGGGGAAAAACAATAGGTTGGTGGCTATCAGATGAGGAACCCCTCCAACTGCAAGGAGAGGAAGCAGCCATGACCTGGGAAACGCCAGAACTTCCGACTCGATACCTGGGTATACTTATGACAAGAGAGGGTCTGGCACCCCAAATGKGTCAAAATATACTAACCAAACAAATCAACAAAATAGGAAAATGGGGTAACATCTTCACATCCCTCATCGGTAGAGCCCTGGCCATAAACACATCGGTTTTTTCAATGATGTGGTACATAGCCTCTATATGGACAGTTCYGGATAGCTCTATCAAAGAACTGAATCGCAAAGCCAGATCTTATCTTTGGACAGGAGACCCCAACAAAGAAAATGGCATACCCAAGATTGCCTGGCACTATGTCACGAGAAGTCCACAGAAAGGAGGTCTGGGAATTATAGACCCTGGAACAGAGACGAAAGCCCTACAGACCAAGTGGATTATCAAACTTTTGATGAATCCTGACTCTACATGGAATAAACTGGCCCTGGACAGTATCAGAGCCTTGGCACCGACACCTTCTCCAGAAGACATGGCAGGGCAGTTCTGGGTAACGAACAAGGAATAGGCCATGACTACAGGGCGTAGAAATCGAAGGGGGGATGAAGGATTAGAAGGTTACAGACCTCCTACCCCGTACCGGTCAGCACTACTCCGAATCTGGAGAAGAATAATGCCAAACAAATCTAATAGACCTAAGTCCAAAGATGAAGTTCTCAGACAACCACTTTTTGGGAATCAATGGATAACCAATGAGAACGACAACCCCCTTCCCCTGGAACACAGATGGCTCTCTTGGGTCAAAAATGGCATATGGAAAGTCGCCCACTTGTGGAATGAAGGGAAAAAAGAATGGAAGACAGAACAAGAAATCAGCTCCCAACTGAAAGGATGCCATAAACGAGGGCCTCATCTCCAATATATCCTTAACCTCATCCCTCAAGAATGGAAGACCATATTGACTGAAGCTACACCTTGGAAACCAGGAGAGTGGGGGCTGCTGATACAAGAAACGATTCCTTCCA